TCTCTCATTCTCTGAATTAAATGCTTTCACTTGTAGGCAATGATCGTATTTTTGTTTCAACTTAACTGTGTGTGACCCAATGTGTAAGTCCTCACACGGAGCTTGTAGTAGATCTGAAGAGGTACAGGCTGCCTTATTTATTTATAAGTCTTAAATGCTTTACAGTCTGACAGCCAAGGATTCTGTCTGATGGATTTTCACGTTGCTGGCTTAGCAAGGCTGTTGCAGGGGGTAGCAGGGAATTGGAAGCATGCAACCTGGAGAATAAAAGTAGAGAACACAAACTTACTAAAAGATCAAGCCACCATGTTCACAATGGGTTCCTCAGATAAAATCTTGTATTTTCACAAAATTGTATTGCTTGAATAAATGGTCACAGTTGAAAAGCAGCTGGGCATCCAACAGCCACTGCAAGCAGTAAGAGCTGACAGGTCTCCTAATTTAGGAAAGGAGGCTTAGCTTTAGTGTCTCAGAGCCTGGATCTCACTCTGCCAGTGAGAACATCTGTCAAGAGTACCCATCCACCCTGAGGGCTGAAGGACCAGATGACTTCTGAGTTCACTTCTAGCCCCATCTGATTCTGTAAAAAAAAAAATAAATAAAATTCTTCCCATCAGCAGTGGCAGGGGCAGCTGTCAGCTCAGACAGGACAAAGAGCTGAGCCCTCGGGAGCAGCTGCTGGGAGTTTAGAGGAGCCAGCACTTTCCCATATAATGCCATGAAATGGCAGATGGCACCTTCCACCCCACCGTTACAGCGAGGAAGGATCTGCACGTGAGGGGTTCCTCTTCTGCCGTCCTCTAGCAGAACGTGTTGTAGAGGATTAAAAACACCTTGCTGAACTTTCTGTCAAAGCGCTCCTGCAGCTGAATTAGATTAGCATCACCAGGCTGGCGTTTTTTTAAATGAAAGCAGATGACTAACAGTGAGGGAAGGGAGACATGATCTGTACATGTTTCTGATGCTGTTTTATCAAGTACGTGACTTTTTTTTTTTTTTTTGACATTGATACAATCTGTCCCGTTGCACAATAGTCAAAACTATTGTGGGGATAAGGTGCCTTTCTCCCAGGTGGCCTTTTCTTTCAGCGCAGGGCCTTTATATGGTCAGAAGCTGCACAATCTCATACGTAGATAAGGCACAAAATGCATGGGCTGTAAGAATAGGATTGACCTTCCCTCTCTCCCCATCTACACACACACACGCATCATTTAGATAAATTGAACAATTCAATTGAGCAGGAAAGTTTTTAAGGAAAAATCCACTTAAAATGAAAGAAGGATAAAATAAAGTTGGAAAAGACGTGAGTTTTAATACAAACTAAGTCTTGTCATGTGGTTATGTAAAGAAACAAATAGCTACCATTGTGTTCATGGACAGCAAAGTTAATTTGCTTTTCCAAAGGAAAGGTTTTGAATAATCTGTCCACCCTTGCTGAAAAAATTCTTCACTAATCAGCACTGTCTTATTTTCATTTTGCTCTCTCCCAGGATGGAATGAGTAAGAGATGAATTGTGTTTTCCTTGCTGTGCAACCCACTTGCCATTTCCACACTATTAAGTAGGAGAAATGTCCTCAAAGGGAAACAGAGATTCCTGTTGTTTAAAAAATTGATAAGCAGTATGCTCAAAGTGATGCATTCACTTTTGCTCCCTGTCCTGCAAAGTCCAAGCCATTTTTTCTGGTGCTGGTATGTGGCACTTTATTATGCAGTGGATGCTCTCGATGGAGAATGTTTTCTTCCTAGTTATTATTGCACTTTTCTTAGCTTTTGATTTCTGGTGATCAAAAGAACGCTGTAGTCCTATTGAGAGAAAGAGATGCTATCTCTGCTGTAGCCAACCCATGATACATCAGTGGCTTTGAAGGTTAGAACCAAAGCTTTATACTGGAAGTGAAGTGAGACCAAAGAAGGGATCAAAGTTTAGGAGTGATGCATGTATGACAGCATCGGATGCGCTACAGCATGTGTGGCAGGGAATCACTATAAAGGTAACATCCACAGACGCTTACAGAGTGAATTAGCAGTTCTGAGAAGAGAGTGCAAGGTGAGTAGAAGCACTTCTGTGTTGTTGAGACTTTGTTTTCTTGTTTAAGTTTGTGCAGTGTTTGTGGATTCATTTACTGAAAAGATATCAATGGTTTGTAATGTTTTTTAAAAAAACAATTTTTATGCAAGACTTACCTGTGCTTTTTTACCTCAAAGCCTCAAACTGTCAAATAAGATACCTTAATTTTCCTTTGAGACAGCTGAAAGTAAGATCAGTTAATGTGCCAACTCCCTCCCCTCCAAGTTTTTTAACTAATTTCAGATTTATTCTGGTACACAGCAGCTGGAATAACTTAAAATTCACAATAAGGGATTCACAGTTTGCTGTATATACTCCTAAAAGTCTTCAGATATGTATGTTATAGAACTGTATGCCAGCAAGGGCCAGAATTAAAGCTTCCCATAACATAATGAAGACTTTAAACGTGTCACCTTCTATATTCACACTCTCTGGGTCCTGGCACGTGTTTCAACATCTGACATTCATGGTGTTGACCAACTCCCAACAACCTGCAGCTGAGAGGACTTAATACTTTTCATCTTTTTAAGCAGACATGAACAAATTAATCCTCCCCCAAATCCTGTAATGGTGGAGGTACAACCATTTTATAGAGCCACATATATGACTTGCTCAAGGTCACAGCACTAGTCAGTCAGCCTTATAGCCAGGATTAGGATTCAGGTCTTAATTCAGGTCCCCACTCCTCTGCTCAAGTAGCTATGGCAGGCAATTCTGTGCAGCTTATGGACAACAGTTCTTTTGCCTAAAAATGTACTCAGAATTATGGTTAGAGAGTATAAGAAATTATGGGGGTCATCTGGATTTATTTCTGCAGCAGCCAGCACATGTACAAACTGTATGAGTTCACACTCTTACGCTACTATGTAAAGGAATTTAAACCACATTTTTACCCAGGAAAAAACCACCCCACAGTACCTATTATCCTAATGAATAGCAATTAAAACATCATTGCCAGTATTTTCTAGATGCTTTGCAGACCTGCCGTTTATCTAGACAAGGCTCAAAAGAGCTTTATAAATTTAGGGAAAAGATTTTACAAAGCTCCTCATGCTCAGATCTTCTTTCTAGCCACCTCAGTAATATAGTAAGCATTATTGGAAAGACTAAGAAGGTCAGAACAGCATTATAAGAGGCAGGAGAGAAAACAGGGAGTCCTGTTATGTGCAGCTTCCTGCAAATTCTAACTGCAGTAAACTGGGTTTCAAATCAATTCAGCAACAAAATTCCTATTGAATTTTAGCAGTGGAGGAATGCATTCACTATGTCTTTTGCCACAAGAATTTTCTCTGATCTCAGCGAGGCTACTCAGAATAATCCCAGTTTGCAGGACTGTTTACGTCTTGAAGAGATGCCATGCTAAAATAATTTGCATTTTATAGCTTTCATGGTGCATATATTGATGAATTGGCCTTGATATCAAGTCACCAAAACAAGTATTTTGTGACCTGTTTTTCACTAACTTCACGCTAACATTTCTCCAAACTGAAAATGAATGTTAATTTTCAAAGCTTGAATTTGTGACTTTACAAAACAAAAATTAATCAAAGAATATGTCTTTCTAGTGCTTTTAGTTCCTTCCAGTTTTGGAAACAATAGTGCTTTGCTTTTCAACTCCAGATGGCACTGTGGTGCTTAACACGACCCAGCTGGAGGAGAGCTGATGGATTGCAAAAGCATGCAAGCTCCTGAAAAACAATGGCTTTCTTGTTTTATGAGAAATCAGCTGCTAATAGTTTTCCAGTGCAGATGTCCTATTTTACTTTCAGTTCGGTGAAGACTGGGCTAACAAATGGTAGTTTATATGCCTGAGATATGACTTGTCGTGGAAGAAAGGACTCGCTTGTCTGTACTTGCACGAGGTCACAAGGGTAGTAGCCCTTGCCTCCACCAGCAAAACCTAATGCAACACACACTATTGCAGAATGAAGGGAAAAGCTCTGCTGTTGCACAGCTCTTCCTATGCACAGTGACTAATTCTATCTCTGTACAACTGGTAATTCTGCTTATAAAAATGTATTTTCAAGGATGAAGTGCAAACCACTTAAGTAATGAGGTTATCAGTAACTTTTCTAGGGAAACCCACAGACTTTACTGCTTGGAAGACATCCTTTGCCATTTCATGTTATCACTTCGACTATTAGAAAAATGTGTACAATAAATAATATTCTTCCTTCATATTCATCCTTTGAAAACTTAGGAGTGGGACGTTCATATATTTGCTTAATCATACACTCATACTCATCTATACTGCATCTTTTCTTACATGCTAATGTTTTTTTGAGATTCTACCCCTAGTTTTTATAGTCTTCTCAACTCCTATTTTTGTAGAAGTCTGCCTGACACCTACATTCTCTTTTAACCCTTCCTAGCTTATACTCTAATTCTCCAATTTTGTACAGAATAATTTCTAAATACTTGTTACCTGACCTATGGACCCAGTTAAAGTTCCCAGCTCCCACTACGCAATCACTAAACCATTGCTCAACCCAAGTCTGAATAACATCAGTGGTTCTTCTGTGCGTTTCATCCAACAGAATTCTGGAATTTGCTCCATATGCCATGATATCCCTTTTGATTCCAAGCAAAACTCGAAGAGTTTATGTGGCTTCATTTGCAGGCTGTTATATTTTTAACCCAAGTAAATCCTTTCCCATAAGTTAATGAAGGAACTGAAGATATACAGAAAGGGCAGGCTATTTGTCATACATCTTCCAGCACAGATGACTGTTTCATTACAAATAGTTTATGAAGGAAGAGTTGCTCAAAAGACAAAAAGGAATATAAGTGAGAGAGAGATGACTGTTTTAAACAGTCAGGACCTTAAAATAGTCTCAGTTCTCTCTGAAGCACCACATGGAACCCTTTTCCAAAGGCATAAAAAACGCACATACACCTGCCCCCCCCCCCAGCCCCTGGCCTTGGGCATCCTTAAGCTCCCCCTACATTTACACAATATTGGTGTATTTGTCATATTAGTTCTGGTAAATGAGTAGCCATAAAACCACACAAGGCAGAATGTCCTACATTACTAGACAATAACAATGCTTCTGAAGACTGAAAACCTGTACAACACCTGTTTTCATTCCACAGCTCTGTAGCTCTTGATTTTCTTCTCCATCCTCAAAGTTGCATAAGGACAGTGGTGGCTCCTCGTAGCATTACAGAGTGCATAACTGATATGTTATTGGCATATATGACACAATAGATAAACATTTCTTCTTTTAGAATGTGTTCATGTCCATTCTAGGTCTTCTGAATAAAACTCACACAATGTCCTGAGATCAATTATTTTAAATTCAAAATAAACTTTAAGAAAACTGTCCCAAAGCAAAATTTATATATGTTATATTCATGGTTTTCCTGCTGACAAGGTAATATTTACATTACATGTAATGCAAAATCTTCCCCTTGCGATAGTCACATTTAAAGGTACTCCACTCAGCCTTTAGACTGAAACCAGTGACAGTGGTGACAGGAAGAAAATGAAAGCAGGCCAGACCAGCATCCCTGAAGCTTTTCTAAAAGATCTACTGCTCTTTCCCTGTGCACCTTCTCAACCTGCATTCTCTGTTGCAATGCCGTGTGCTGGTCTTGTAGGAGGAAGATGAGCACTACTCAAAGAACCTTTGGCAACATACTGTTTTTAAAAAAGCTTTTGGGGGCGGATTATCTCCCCAAATCTAATTATGTAAAGCAACGCATGTTCTATGTACTGTGTTGCCAAGGCTGCTGCTCAGCCTGTGAGCAACTGCACACCTGCACTCAATTGTCTGGCCACTGATTCACACCAGTAGCAAGGTGGATCCCTCATATACTATGTGCTTGCTGGAGCAGTTGCAGTGTTAAAGAGTCTCATGTACTTAAAGAGGTTGCAATTTGTTTTTTTTCACCTTTGCTACATGCTCGTGTAAAGTGTAACACAAATGGCACATGAGTGGTGTCAGCCAGAATCAGCAACCATTTGTTTTTCTGACCCAAGTAACTTAACCGTGGCATGGGCAGTTAGTTGCATCAGACAAACATGTCTGATGTCTTCTGTGGTCATAAGCTAGACTTATTCTAAGCCTGTTTGGAATTGAAGATGTTGCAAAATGTTATTTGATGCATTTTGCAAAACATGGATAGGAGATGGCATCTGATGAAAATGAAAAATGGCAGTAGTACCTATAGATAGTAGAGCCTTCCAGAACTGAAGCAGGAGAATTAAACGTTGGATGGAATGTAAAGGAAACTGGTCTGCACAAAAGAAGTAGGTTCGTGTCCCAATTACTGTCTACAGAAACCAATTCTGCAAGTTTCTTTGTGGGCCATCTAGCCCTCTCTTTGCCTGCTGGGGAAAAAGGTACAGAACTTCTATAAATGTTTCATCACTAATTTAGGCCTAAACATCTGGTTGTGGGTTGTTTGTTTGGTTTTTTTTTAACAAGTACTACTGTATTGCTGAGCAGCCTCATACTTCACTTTTTGCTTCCACTAAACCTGCTGCCAGATGAGGGCTGGGTGTGGGGGATGTGGCTTAACATTAAATGCAGAAGAAGCGGTATCCCAAACAACTGTGTATGCTGGGGATCAGAGTCCTCCCACTCTCTTTTCAGCTTTCAGAATAAAGCAGTAGGATTTATGAGATCACATAAAATTTCAAGCTAGTTAGAACTATAGTTCCTAGAGATTACTCTAGAACTAGATATTTTATTGTTTTGGATTATTACATAAACATTCCAGAGCATTTTCCCACTGTAGTTTTACTCTGCAATACTTACCTTTTCTCTAATAAACTGTTTGCACATGTTCACTTCTCTCTTTGAAAATCTGTTTTTGCAGAAATATCAATTCTGGCTTTTACATTTTTTTTTAATATCTTCCTCTTAAGGGAACAATTCATCCTCCTCTTCCTGCCAAAACGCAGTGATTGGTAGCACTGCTGAATTTTTTCAGTGTACCTTTTTTGTTACAGCCATAGCTATGCAGCCAGATTTATAAAGCTTATTAGGATAGTGACACATTCATATTTTTTAATGGGAAAATAAACAAGCTAAGGCTGAAGTTTTATGGCTCACCACATTAAATAGCCAAACTTCTGAAGCTTCTCATTTTAACTCTTCCTAGAGCTGTCTATGCTCACCACTAATGCAAGTTTTTGTTATCTATCACCTTCTTTATCACTATGAAAATAGTGTCTTTGGAGCCTGCTGGCAGAGATCATTCTCAGAAAATGATCGTCATGTTGTTGGTATTTCTTCAGATCTGGGCTGACGTTTCAAACATCCCATCCCATTTTCTGGAACGAGCACACCACACCATTTTCCAAAATTAATCCAAAGACGATGGCCAACCAAGGGAGCAGTCGGTTCAAGTTCAATGTAACTGCAAAAGAAAACAGAACAAAATTATCACTTACCATTTAAGAAGATCATAGAAACCACGTGAGAATTCATATTAGTTTGTATGTATAAGAAATCACACAAATCTGTTCAAAGTCTGCATTCCAAAGCCATGCATAAAATTACCATGAAATTTTCATTTTCCAGAGACACAAAGAATTCTATTTTATGTTTCAATGATCCATGATGAGTTATCTAAAATTCTAACTGATGGATCTGATAGATATAATACAGCATATACAGAGATGATGGTGAGATAAGAGGTGCTTTTTCTTTTTTTAATGAAGTGCTTTGTTTCATTCACTTTCTATTGAAGTCTAAATAACAGTTTCAAGCTAGAGCTATTTCATATCTGCGATTAAAAAATGTAACAACAACAATAATAGTGACTTCTATAACAGCTGCATTCTCTCACACACACCCTGTACAAATAAAGTAGTAATAAAAAAAGCAAAAACATACCTCTAATTGCCTGAGAGTTTGATATCAAGACAAACACTTTTATAAACGCAAGGCACACAGGTGTGTAGTCATGTTCCCAAATAACAGCTGGAATTAGCAAAAGCTTTCCATAGCTGGACAACAGCAGTGCTTTGAGAAGTAAAATGAAGTCAGACTTTGTTTTCAGCATTTTAGGTCTCATCCACCATAAGGTAATAAAAATGCCAACCAAAAATGAAGTTTGTTCTAAGAGGAAATAAGAGGAGTTGGAAAGAGAGAATGAAGCGCCAAAATCAAGTCCTTTTTTGGATGAATTTCAGTGAAATGACATGTCCCAAATGCAACTGAGTCACTGCTATTTAAAAGACAGACACAAATATGAACATGTCCTCTATCTCCTGTGTTCATTTTAATAGGCAAATATTACTATTACTTACTTAAACTAATTCAGTATCATGACATTCAGAATAATTCTATTACAGAATTCTATCTGTAGGATTGTCATACTTGTAATTTCTGACACAATACAGCACAGGAAGTTTAGCATAAGAACCTCTTTACCTTTCCTTTTTTAACAAAAGGAGAGGTTTTTTTCAGCTGTCTGTTAGCCTGTAAAACAAAATCAATACTTGTCTTCTTTGAAAAGGTCATCAGCAAGGAACTCTTTCCATCCAGCATGAGAAAGAACACTACGGTGAAAACATCATTGAGATATTAGACTTTTTTTGACACCTTGTTCCTGTGTAACACTGGAATTAATGCACATGTCAAAGCAACTCTCACGACAACTGTAATAGATGAATTACTACTGAAGAATGAGTTCCAATATTTTTACTGACACGTTATGAAAACCTACTTCAACCAACATTAGACAACAAATGACTTACTTAAGTTAAACTCTGAATGTCTAAGGGAAATGCTAGTTTTAGTCTGCGGGCTTGATTTAAACACTATCAACAGAAAATGTATGAGAATAAAAGTATTATCCAAAATAAAACAAAACCCCTCCTTTGCCTTCAAATGTATTCACTCGTTACCAGTAATGACACTGCTCTGTATTTTTGTGTATTCATTAAAAAAATACAAACCAACAGATACAGCTTTTCCCAATTATTGTTTACTTCTGTAAGGATCATCCTTAATGTTGTATCGCCTTAATGAATAATAAACCTTGAAATCAACATAAAATATGGAATAAGGCTGAGCTCCACATTGGTCTTCAAACTATGTAAATGGATTCAGACAAAGATTTCTGAATACTGCCACTTTTCAATATTTTGATATCTAATGCTGATCATATCGGTCTGAACTGTACTCAGGATCAAAATATGCATTTGCATTAAATGAAGGCAAACTAGAGAGTATGTGTATAATCGTTTAACCATACTGAGTTGGACATGACATCCATTCTGTATTAATTTTTGGAATATGGGGTTGCTGAAAGACTCATAAAGTTATTCAATGCTTAAAGAGTAGATAGTGACATGAACTAATCATCTATCTTACCTAAAGAAGCTATACCAAACATTCTATAAAAATCCCATTCCTTGGCATATCTGATTAAGTCATCAGGATCTATATTTTGGCTTGAATCCTGTAGTTGCAACCACCTGAGATAAGCTTCACAGAGCAAACAAAATATGCAGAGCTTCCCATGAATCTGGTAAATGAAAGAATAATAAAAGCATTAGTATTAAATCAGCATAAATTAAAGCATTAGTATGAAATTGGTATTTAAAATACATTTCAACATCTCTACACAAATGACCTCTGTAGGTTTATTATTTTTGTTTAGAAATATAAGCAAATTGCTTCTGTTCAGCCACTAGATTAGCACATCATGCTTTTAACGTCAATCAACATGATAGGCAAATTAGAGGGTATAGAAAACTGCATGAACAGTTCCATACAGAAGAAGGTATATAAATGTGGTTTCTAAAGCCTGCTCTATACTTTTTTAAAACTGGGAATGCTGTTTCAGTTAGGAATATAAAAACAAAATTGTGCCGTAGCTAGTAGAATTATACTATCAAAAATTTCAGTTTAAGGGCAACTACTCCATTCAATGAACTAGTTTAAATAGCCTTGTTTCTCTTTTTCCCTGGGACAATCTCCATTAGAAGAAACTGGTAGTGTAGTTATACCAAAAATAGTTCAGATGAGGGTAAGGTACCAAAAATAAATGGAGCAATACAGCCAAACAAAACTTAAAAACTGCAAAAATGAGGTCGTGAGGGCCCATAGTTAGCATATTTCCACATTAAACAGCCTATAAGCCAGTGTGTATGTGGGGTGAATTCTGATTTTATACAGATTTAAATGAACCAGTGCAATTTCTGTGTGTGGATTCTACTTTTGCCATTAGTAACTAGTTATGCCAACTGCACGTACATGCACAGGCTAAGCCAGTTTAAAATTCAACTCAATTTATTTGAATAGATGAAATTTCCACAGATGGAATAGTTCTTCCTGAAGCTTCATGGAAAACATCATTACCAGTCTCCAGAAGCATGGAATTAATTAAAAATCCTTTAGTCAGATTTATGCTTGAAAGATGAGGCGAGTATGTTTATCTACGCTGCTGAACACTGGACTGGCTAAGAAGTATCAACATGAACACAGCATATGCTTATGCTTGCCTAGTTTGCTCTAGATTAGCTTCCCTCTCCTGGGAAATCAATCCATAAAGTAAAAAGATGGAATTCTGTCAGAAAAGATACAACTCTACACTCCAGCCTGGCCAGCACAACTAAATTGACCACGTTACTCTGCATCAACAACGCTTCATGTGAAAGCCATTATCTTTTGCTATAGTTTTGAGCGCATGGTTAATTACTCAGGAAGAAACTCATGAGAAATTAGTACAGTTTTAATTGGCATAGCGTTGTCAATATGGTATGTTATACTACCACAGCTCATTTCAGAAAGAATTGTTTCCAACAAAAACTTAATTTGGAAATTAATTTGAAATTAGATCTTTCTCTTCCAATGTAGTTTAGCACATCATCCTTTTAACATCAATTAACATGACAGGCAAATTAGAAGGTGTAGAAAACTGCATGAACAGTTCCACACAGATCCTTCTCTCCTCTTTAACGTGTTAGATGACTGCTGTATTTGCTGATATTGTGGCATCACTACTGTGGAGACAGTAACTTTCTTAGTAACAGCTGTAGTTTTAGATTTCATGTGTTCTGTTCATGATATAACTGGTTCAGCTTGCTGGAACCTGTGGAAGAGCAGGAGAAGAACAGTCTCCAAAATTTTACAACTGTTACAATCAACTTGCCAAATCTAAACATATCTTTAACCAAAAAAAGTCACAGGGTGGAGGCATAGCAACTTACATTTATCTTTGTATTGAAAAGAATGTGCCTGTATGCTTGTGCTTTACATAAAATAGCATTAATCAAGATGATAACAGGATCATACTCAATGTATTTGTCCACAGGTTTCTGGCAGGATTTCTGAAAGTCACAAAATAACAAAAATTAGGGGAAAAAAAAGCAAGAGTTTATTAAATGTTCCTCTAATCTTAGCACAACTGCATAAATCCAAACCAGCTATTAAATTCTTACTAGTCTTTCCTTAATGTAATCTTCATTTTCAATAGGTTTTCAATCCATCCAGAAAAACTGCTTCCCCTCCCTTGACACTACAGTTGACACACAGACTTCCCTTGTAAAGCATAAAGATACATTATTGATTTTTACAGGCTTCAGATTAACACAGATAATAAACTATGCAAGGATGTAGTTATCATTTTGTGCACTGCAGATGCAAAAAAGCAAACTACCTTTGCAAGACTCAAGAAATGCACCAGTATCTTGTTAAAGGTTAACTGATCATGGCTCATCTACTGGGTATTTTAGGGTTTTTCTGGTATTTTTTGGAAAGAAAATTAATTTCTTCTATCATTTCCTTCTTTTCAGAGATGCTTTATCCTCATATTCTACCTTTTTCTTCCTTTCAAGAAGACAGTAAATGTTTTTTGCTCTTGCATTGTTCTTCTGTACTGGTAAACTGTCCAGGTGTTTGAACTGATTTTCCATTATTGACCAAACACCAATATATACAGGATACTGGTAATGTAGTTTTCACGCACAGATATAGCCAGAGTCAGAAGTTACTACTAAACAGTGGTAAGACACTAGACCATCACTTCTCCAATACATCTACTGGTTCCTGCTGTGCCTACTAGAGAGGTTATTTCACCCTGACCACTGGGAACTGCGTTGTCATCAACCCCCTTCAGATTTATTGACTTACCTGCATGGGTGACCACTCCTTGACTGGAGAAATGAGAAGGGCTAAAAAAAGGCTATTATACTAGCTGTGAACAGGATGGTTAAATAACAGTCTTACAAAAGGCTCACCTATCAGACCTGAGGGGGAAATAACTTCTAGCAGAGAGCTGAGGAGCAGCAGCAGTTGATGACAGCAACCACTTCAGCTCAAACAAACGCACTTATAGGAGGGTGCTTGCTTGCAGGTCAGCTTTCTCCTGCTGCCGATCCTCCAGTTCAGCTACTTGTTTCCTCCAACCTGTCCTCAGCTAATCCTGCTCCCCTGGGCCTTCACATTAGCTGCCATGCTCAGAGCAGAACAGTCATAGAAACAATCTCTATTTCCATTTTAATGAGTGCATGGCTGTGCACTGCCAGAAGAGAAATCTATGCACACAGCTTTCTGAAATGCTGCAATAGTCAAAAATGCAGAATTAGACACCACACACCTACAGACAAACTCCCAGGAAAGAACAAAAATTTTTTTTCAATTTTATAGGGATTCCTTGTGTCCAAAGTTAAAAGGCCTTGTTATTTACCAGAATTATTATTGGAGAATTTGAGAATGCAAAATTTAACTAGCAAATTGTCTCAAAAGTCCAACATCCGTATCAAGAAAAACATCCAAACAAATGCATAAATTGAATAGAGTGTCTATGGACTGTCACTGGCACTAATCAGTGTTTCTTGGTCCAACTCAAGAAAAAGCCCAACAAACTCATTTGGATTAGAAAAGAAAATACTGTGTATGACAGTACACAAGCTAGAGGTAATGAATGCAAAAATTGACTCAATTAACCAACAGTTTGATAGGTCTAAAATTAAAGTAAGCAAGATGGAAGAAAGGACATAATTAAAAGAAGACCACAGCTACAGGATTTAATAGCGTGAAAAAGAAATTGCAACTATAATTAAAGGCAGTGTCTTGCTTCATTTCTTTCTACAGTGAAATCATGAACAGATATTCTTATAGGTGGTAATTTACATATGTCAAATCTCTGGGTTGATGTAGCACAGGAAAACTTTTTTGTTTTTAATAGGCTTATTCACACAAGCACTGGACAAGCACATACAAAAGATTACTCTTGAAAACAATGGGTGTCATAAAGGTTTGATGAAGGATATCCTACATACCCCAGGATTTATTATGCTCTCAAATTTCCCTACAACAGAACATTTTTTGACCAGGGTCAAAAATCTTTCTAAGAAGAGTAAAGAATGATCTTTTCAAATGGAGGGTCCCAACCAAACACCGATCAAAAAACTTGCAGTTAAGAGGTACTGAAAAATTTTCACTGACAGCTGACATGAATTTTAGACAATTAAAATATATCAGACCAACCCTCCAGGCAAAACCAATGATACAGAAATTCTACTGCAGGAATGTAAGGAGACTGCTACCAATGAATACACATATAGTGGTGTTATCCATAAGAATGGGTCTTCTGCTCCACAGCTTCTGGCAGCTACAACCAAATCTTCTGCAGATGTTTTTACATACGCACACCCCCACACCCCTGCCTGTCTTCTGGAGCTAGACAAGAGCCCTATTCTTAATATATTTTATTTCTATTTGAGTCTCAACCGTGTGAAGGAAAAGTCTTCTGTGCTTACCCAGCCAGTGACCTAGCCAGCGTGAGTTAACTCAGTGACTTGTGACACCGGCAAACCACCTTACTGCAAAAGACTTGCATGTGCACTGCCTATATAGACTAACTGGACAAAATGAAGATGACACTTGCTATACCATGAGAACATTACAGAATTAATAGACCCTCTAAGATGAAATTTTCTCCGTATCTGGCTTTTTTGTTATTTTTTCCAGCTGTACTGCTAAAACATCTGACACTAGCCTTAAATGCCTAGGAAGGAAACCTGTGACTAGAGCCTGACTTCAGCAAAATCAATGCAAACAACGGTTAATGCAGTTTAATCACACATAGGGTTAACTAGATGGCTTTATCTAGTTGAAGTGATATAACTGTACGGACATCAATAATCACTAACACTTTCAGAGAAGATCAGTATGAGCAGCTCAGCTATTACAGAGAACTGCTTACACGCTTCCTTTTAAGATTTTAGTCAGGCAGTTTAGAGTGAGCTACAAAACTGGTGCTCAGGTCTCATTACCAACTGCAGTTCTGCACAGCAGTAGTCAATGGCCTGTTCAGTATGACTGAAGGCGGCACATCTTTAACAAAACCAAGCTTTTTCAATCTTCTTTGGGCTTTCTCGAAGAAATGCCTCAGTTACCATAACCAGTTCTAAAATGACAGAAAGAAGTAACTGGATTTCTCTCTGTTTTTAACTAGCTTTTAATTTCTTCCTTAAATATGTAATTGACATCAGAAACAGGAAATAACTGGCATCTTTCCATGAAAAAACAGACATTACTTTGATTAAAAGGTACTTTCAGATTATGTTGCAGAAGAGAAAGGTCAAGCTTGACACCATAAATTCTATTTACATATCTTCTTCCAAATTGGTAAATTTAAGGAAAATTATGAATGTTTGATACTGACACACAGAATTCCAATAGATACTGTGCTCCCCTAAAAAAGGGTGTTCAATCTATTTCAATATTCTAATGAATTTAAATGGTGTTAGTTTAGGAATTGTTTGACTAATCAAATACTTAGGAACATTTGACTATGCTTGTCTGTTGTTTCAAAAAAAAACCCCCAAAAACTTCCACTTTCATAACTTTGAAATTTGCTTAGTTATTTAAAAAAAATATATTTTCAAAAAATGAGCAAAGGCAGCTCTAAGAAAAAAAAGAAATCTTCAAAAGCTAGTACAACCATGTTCTTTGTAGTGTAGTGTATCAGATTCTTTCTGATCAAAGCAATCCAAAACCGTTAAGGAAAGTAACATCTGTTTTAACATCTTGGTTGTGTTAAATAAGACAAAAGAAATACTGAAATGTTAATTCAGACTGCATGTTTATCAGCCTTTTATAAACACTACCCAAAAGACATACATCTTCTTTGTTCATGCAGTTCACAAACATATGCCAAATAAAATACAGTGTATAAATATTTGAGGAAATACCTACTGTCACTGAAGGGCAAAGTTCCTAAAGTATATGAACATGACTTTTTTAGAGTGCTCTCTCCAACATTAAAACATAACTGAATTTTTAAGTAAAAGTATTTTGGGATGTGGGTGGTAGAAGGGGGAAATGTTCTTGAAGAGGAAGCCATAGGACACAGCAGAAAATGAAAATACAAAGTGAATTACCAAGCTTCATCCTGAACTAAAAATACCATGAAAACCACATCAGGAATATGTTTGCAAATCTCTGGTCATTAGAAACACCACTAAAACAGCCTCATTTTAGTATTCCTTTCCCCAGGGTTTGGAGTTTAGCAAAATTAAGCTACAGTCTTTTGCTGGACTACATGTACAGCAAATTTTAACAACATTTACATAGCTTCAACATGCACATAGGTCCACTTACATAGGTTCATAGGGCAAACTAACACAGACCCATCATTTTCCGAGAATGCCCTTAATCCCAGTTGCACCCTTAAGCAATAAAACGTAATTAGCTGTGCTGCTTTCAGGAACGGGTTCTTTATTAGGGATGTGGCTAAGTGTCATAATAAGCTGAAAAACAAAACAGCCCAGTTTCAGATGCATTCCATTTCAGAAAACTGAAATTTAAAATATTGTTTTATAATTTTTCCTGTATGATACATTTCCAGTAGTGAGTTGGTCTGCAGATCTGAGTTATGTAAATAAGAACAATAACATACTTTGTTTTCCAGGATGATCTTTGTACTCTTGACAGATTCTTTACCTTGCCACATAAATGCTTCACATTCAAAGCATTTACACTCTCTCTGCCTTGCTGCAATAAAAGAGCTTTTCAATTATTTTTTAATTGCAGAAAAGATAAATGAAGTGTGCACTGCTCAGGCAATTTGGCTTCCTTATTACAAAACACAAGGGGGATCCTGACTGAGCTCTACATATTGTAATGAATAATTTCTTTCCCTTTGTTAGGGTTTGGAATGATTAACATCTTTAAAACTTTATTTTTAAACACATAACCATATATGAAATTTAAAACCAAATAAAAAAAAACCTACATGTTTTTCGTTCTATTTTTTAATAAGTCAAGTTTGCTAATTTTCTTTTATATTCATTGCAGTTTGACTGCAGAATTTATTCCAGGTTAGCCAAATGTGGTTTTTTTTCCCCTATAGCATTAATGCTATAGTGGCAATGCTATCTGAACGGTATTTTTTGTTACTGTTGTCAATGGTTGGTTCGTAATATATTCAGTGAAGATCTGCTGTATTATTTACAGATCATTTACGTTTTAAGGATCTCAAAATAATTAACAAAAATCACTATAAAGAACCACCTAGGCTTACTTTCACCATTGCTTCTGGTTCGGAATTGGGAAAACATCAGTATGTTCACAGCATAGGACTAGAACCAGCCCCATGAGTTGCAAAGTGACCACCAGAAGTCACCTTCATTGGAGGCAATCCTAACATGCCTGCACACCCCCCCACACCTCCCGCCACCCCCCCAGTTATCATGCTGAAGAAAAAGCACACTGAACAGGTCTCCCTGAGGAGGTGAGTTTCCTCAGAGTTTTATTATCCATTTTGAGTAGCTTTAAGTTCTTTTTAAGGAGCAATAGTCCACCTGTCTCTCATAAAGGCACTTCCACAGCAGAATATACGCAGGATGAGAAAAAGGTTCATTCACTAAATGCAAATCTCAAGCAAGAAGGAATGCGCAATACCAGAGGTCTGGGCTAGGCTTCTGCTGAAAGTGGCCTTCATTAAACAAAGCAGATGAAAAAAAAGTTACAGAACTTGAAGAATTTGTGGCAGTTAGCCACCTTGCAGAGCTCTTAACAAAAGACATGACCTTTCCATCCCGAGTTTTATGGTACTGTGTGGACTTCTACGTTTGACAGAAGAAGCTATCTTTAGGTTCTGCAGTATCCTTTGCAAATTTATTTCTAGAGTGGATAGTAACGCTTGTGAGGTCTTTAATGTTTGCCCACATTAAAATTACAATATGGAGCTCAAAGACACTTTTAATTATCTTAAGAGCAGTAACAAATGCTGCAGGAACTAAACTGAAGCAGCACCATGAATATTAGGCTGAATTTCCAAAACTGTACTCTAATATTGTGGGCTGGAAACAGATGTTCCCTAATGGAACCTTTTAGTATTTGCCTCTGGAAAAAATCCATTCTTCTCTTCAACAGATTAATAAGAGAATACAGACACATGGTATTTTGCTTAGGCATTCAAATTTAAATCTTCAACCTGAAAATCATGCCCAGATCAGGTTAAACACATCCTAAAAATAAATGTACAAATAGACAGACTGTTGGGAGAACTTAGATTCTTCAACCTCAAGATGATGTTCTGAAAGGTGTTGAATGACAGTAACATCCCAAGAATGGCAAAGACCTTTTAGATGCAGATTTATTAATTTATCAAGGATAAGTTTAAACTAGGATTAGGGCAGGTCTGTAGGTCCGTATAAAACAGTGACGATCTTGGCAATGTTCTGCTTGTTCCTAATTTTCTGGGGCCCTTTATATTACACATCACGTGGAACAAATGTTGGGTTGTTGGGGGGGGTTTTCCTTAATGTGTCAGTATTTTCATGTACTACTTGAAAATGGCAATGAAACACAATTATCCCAAAGCTTTTTAACAAAAGAATTATCTAGACAATGTCCATTGGCCTCACTTCAAGTATCACTATACAATCTTTCTATGTACTTTTCACTTTTTCTCTCTTAAGCTACAATGGAGTAGCAGTACTCAATGCTCTAATTCCACAAAGATAGATTAAAACTGTTCTCAGGCTGGGTGATCACACCTTCTAATCTCACCTCAGACTTCCAATTTTTCTTAAATAACTTCAGCTTTTCCTAAGTTTTTAGAGGCCTACACTGTTAAGTTTTATAAATACCTGGTATAAATGATGTTTCACACTGGTAAGTGGGACCTTTGTGTTTTCTGAAGTGGAGAAGACTTTAAAGCTATCATTATTTTCAGGTCAAGATGATTCATAACACTGACTAACTCATTGTAACACTGCTCGTGAAAGTTTGTGAAGGGTATCAAAGGACATTCTGTACTTAACCGTTTTTTTGTTGCCAGTAGCACGATGCTGACCAACTTTTCAGGTCTCTGGCAGGAACACAGCATTGCCTGCATGGAGTAGAATGCCTGCACAGGTTTAGTGCAGTCACAAAACTATCCTTGCAAATGAAAAGGAAAAAGTAAACCAAGAATTGCCCTATTAGAAACCATGAGGTCTTGGTAGCTGGAGACAACAGCAGTGCTTTCCTGCAATATGCAGATAAAGCTGAATTCAGATAGTTCAATTGAAGAAATCTTTTGATTTGGCAATCTTCTAACATTCTCATCTCCACTTTATAAACCATGAGCTAACATGTTTTTTACTGATGTGCTTCGTATTGCCTGTTCCTCCTGTGGACCACTCCTACTCTCAGCACTTCCTGGGTGGCCAGAAATGGAGAGAAAGGCTTAGAGATGATATGACATGCACCACATAAGAGCAACTAGGACTAAGACTGAAACTGAACCCTGGTAACCCACAATACAGACAGAGGAAACAGCCTGGTAGGAGTAAGTGAAAAATGGTACCGATCTGGACCTGCATGAAGAAAGGTGGACAGAATTCCAATTTGCTAGGAACATGTGATTCTTTGCTCTTTCTTTTACTCTGTTCTTTACTGTTTTGGTAAGAGTTTGGCGTTTGTGATGAACACAGCAACTGGGACTTCAGTCTTTGATTCTACGTGGGATGGCACAGCTCTGGAAGACCAGGATCTATGGTCCTCAAATGGTTAAATGCTAAGAGGACTGAGTGCCATCTACTGGCTCCCAGTTTGCCTTAGAGATTATCATAGCCAAATTAATAACCATAATTGATGACCTGGGTTTACAACATGCGCTAAATCTTATGTGATATGGCTGCAGGCATAAACTTTATACTTGTCCTTTTGAATCCAACTTGTCCTTGATTTCAAAGAAGAGTTCAAAGCTCCACATGAAAGAGCTCCAGGGAAAACCATTTACATTTTTATGATGTATCAATGATGAATTTTGACTACACTATTTGACTACCAATGATTTGATGTAGTCCATATCCACTACTAAACATGACACATTATACTAACACAATATGCAACTAAAAATCAATTTCTCCTTGCAGTGTGCATGTCTAAAGCCAGCAGAAATCAATCTCTATTACTTTGTCTTTTACCTAAGAAAACTGCTGATCTCTCCAATTTCTGGAATGTCTGCAGAGATTTTTGTGTACACTTTCAGCTGGTTTATGCTCTACAGCAACAAGCCATTTTAACTGACTGCTGGGCTGGGAACAGAGAAGGATGTGAATCAGCTTTTTCTACTATGATCAGTAATTTGTACGTATCTTGTTTTCACAGCCTCTTGTTGATAACAGAAGCTGAGATCTAACATGTACATCTTTCAGCCTGAGCTAACTGCCATTTCCCCAGATACAAACTGGCCACAGACCACTACGATCTGGTTGCCTATGATCTCTATTTTTGATCTAAGGAATGCTTGAATGACTCAAAGTTATAAACCCATAAAGGAATTCATCACAGGTTTCATACAGAGCTTTCTGGTCACCTGTTATGTTTATAGCTTCCTGGTTAGTAAATCAACCCACCTTCTATCAGCATTCTGAAAATGCCAAGGGCTACAAAACTAGGGGAAACAACCACAGAGGAAGTCTGAATGATACACAACTAATTCCCTACAAAATATTCAACAATTGCTTCAAGCACAAGGTTTCCCAAATTTATAAGAAGCATACAGGATATTGTGAATCAATCACATATAAAATCAAAGGCTTAGTCAAGATGTATTTGCAGATCCCTCCATTCCAAAGTTTTTTTTCCCCACCCTGAAATACAGGGTGCCAAGTGATCCATTTTTTGACACGCTATGAAAAAAAAAAAGTCAAAACTAGGTGACAAGGCTACATAAAGTGTATCAAAAACTGAAAACAGTGCTTTAGAAATAGTTGAAAACAGTGCTTTAAATGTTTTTTGCTGCAGCTGCAAAATCTCCAAGAAAACGCAGGAGACACTATTAGAGAATAAAGTTATTTTAACATTATGAAAACACCATGAAAAAGAATGAACTCTGTGAGAGGCAGAGTGGGAGGGGAGAGCAGTAAACAATGTAGAACATGCTGGTACCATTTTGGAAAGTACAACCACTGCAGCTGGGTAAGTAATACAGCAGTCCTCGCATGTACATTGAATAATCATCAGTCAAAACCTGACATTTAGATCCAGCACTTTCCCAGCCGCGCTGAAGTTGTCTACCCACGCAGCCACGCTCAGATCTGCCTTTCAGGGAGTAAAAGCCAGGGAGCACAGCGACAGGCCCGCCGCAGGCCAACCGGGACAGCGCTACCACACAGGTACCCTCGAGGAACCGGAGGAAATGGCGCCCGGAAGCGCGGCGAAGGCAACACCCAGGGCCACGCGCGCCGCGGGCCAAGGCGCGAGGCAGGCAGCGGGCGGAGCTTCCGCCGCGCGGGGCGTGCCGACGGGGCGGGGCCAGGCGGGCACGCCACCACGTTGCCGCCGCCTGCTGACGTCGCAGCCCCTCACTTACACCCCTTCCCTCCCTTCCGGCCTCCCTCGCCCACCGCCCGGCTCCCCCGTTCCCGCCGCCCCCACTCACGCAGATGGAGATGCGGAGCACGCCGCGCTGGTAGTCCCTGTACAGCTCGGCCGCTTCCCTGTTGCATTCGATGCAGCGGTAGGCGCCAAGCGCCGCCATGGCACGCCGGAGAACGCCCCGGCCTGTCAGCGCTTCAAACCGCCTCGCTTCAGCGTTGGGGAGGGGGTGGAGCCGCGTCGCGGTGCATTCCGGGAGTTGTAGTTTTCTGCCGCCAGCGCCATCGGCCAGGGGGCGCCGGAGCGGAACTCCATGTCCCAGGGGGCAGCGCGGCGGCGGCCTCCTCCCCGCCGGTCCCGTTGGGCCCCCGCTGTCCCCGGCCGAGGCGGAAGCGGTGCGCATGCGCCCTGGGAAGATGGCACCTGCCGGCGGCGCCGGGGCCGTGAGGGGACTATGGGTGCCGCTGGCCGTCCTGGCCCTGGCCCGGGCCGCGCTGGCCTTGACCGAGCAGTACCCGGCCTTGTCCCTTCTCCAGCAGGAGCTGCACCGGCAGCGCCAGGGCCCGGCGGGGGGCTGCGCCTCGGCGGGGGAGTGGGCAGAGCCGTACTCGGCCGAGTGCGGTGAGTCGGGG